CAAAAAAGTGTGCATTTGGAATGAAAGCGGGCAATTTCTTGGGATTCCTGGTTCATCAAAGAGGGGTAGAAGTGGACAAAAATAAAGCTCGGGCAATAATGGAGTCACCTTCACCCACCAACAGAGTGCAACTTCAGAGGCTGCTGGGCAAAATTAATTTCTTAAGAAGATTCATTGCCAATCTAGCGGGCAAGATCCAGCCGCTGACTCATTTGTTAAGACTGAAGGATAAAGAGAATTTCGAGTGGGAACCACCGCACCAAGAGGCTTTCGATGGTATCAAAGCTTATTTGACTTCCCCGCCAGTATTAGTACCACCTCAGAGGGGAAAACCCTTAAAGCTATATATCTCCGCTTCAAATAAATCAATTGGGAGTTTGCTGGCTCAGAATAATGAAGGTGGGAAAGAGCAGGCAGTGTACTACTTCAGTAGAATTCTGACCAAGGTAGAAACAAGATATGATAAAGTACATGTTGTCAAAGCCAATGTTAACAGGAAGGATTGGGAAGTGGATTCTAGCATTATTAGAATTCAGCTTCCAGTATGTCCCCCAAAGGGCAGTAAAAGGCCAAGCAATTGCTGACTTCTTGGCGGAACATCAATAATCTCGAGATGAGATAATCAATATACCAGGAACCCTGGAAGTTACTAATGTTTGGATCCCGCCAGGCAAAGGGATCTCGGGCAAAGAGGAGTGGATCCAGCAGGAGATAAGAAGAGTGGCTGATTTATGGATTACTCCTTGGAAGCTGTATTTCGATGGTTCTTATACTCAGAGGGCTTCATGAGCTAGGATTGTGATTATCAACCCTCAAGGGATTTATCATTATTACTTATTTCTCTTGGATTATCAAGGGAATACCAACAATCGGGCAGAGTATGAGGCCTTAATAATTGGTTTGGAAATCTTGATGGATCTGGGGACAATGGAAGTTAAGGTGTTTGGTGATTCAGAATTGGTAATAAACCAGCTAAATAGGGAGTTCAAGTGCAGACATATCACCATGGCCGGATACTATTTGGTGGCCACACAATTGTTGAGTTATTGGGATTCTGATATATCGGTGAGTCATGTTCCCAGGGAAGCCAACCTAGCAGCTAATGAGATGGCGCAATTGGCCTCGGGCATGCCAATACAGGAAAAAAGATATGGGTTGGATGTCGAGATTTAAAGGAGAAATCTTCCTTCTATCCTGGAAAGGGGATTCAGCCTGGATGTAATGGTTCAGGAAGCTGAGATAGAAGATTGGAGATCACCCATCATCCATCATTTGAAAGATCCCTCTTCACCCATCAGCAAGAAGAATAGACAGCAAGCAACTAAGTATGTCTTATGGGCGAAAAACCTACTAAGGAAGACTCCAGACGGGTTATTATTGAAATGCTTAGGCCAAGAGGAGTCCATGAGAGTGATGGCTGAAGTACATGAAGGAATATGTGGAGCATATCAGGCGGGGACAAAGATGAGGTGATTACTTAGGCGATATGGTTATTTTTTGCCCGACATGGAAAAAGATTGCAAGTCCTATGCCCGAGGGTGTGAGGAATGTCAAAGGCACGGTCATCTCCACACATGTACCCTCTGTGCATTTAAATCCAGTAGTCAAGCCCTAGCCCTTCAGATGATAGGCAATGGACTTCATCGGGCAGATTTACCCGGCTTCTAGCAAGGGGCACACTTTTATCATTGTAGCAACGGATTACTTTACCAAATGGGTGGAGGCCTCGGCGGTGAAAACCATAACCTCAGCTGCGATCAAAAATTTTATTGAGACCAAGATTCTGCATAGATTTAGGGTGCCCGAAACCATAGTGACAGATCGAGGGCCATTTTTTATTTCAAAAGAAGTTGAAGAATTTGCAAGCAAATACAAAATAAAGATGATCCGGTCCAGTCCTTATTACCCGCAGTCAAATGGCCAAGCAGAATCTAGCAACAAGATTTTAGTAAACATTATCAAAAGAATGGTGATTGATAGTCCGGAAAAATGGCATGAAAAGCTGGGGAATACTTTGTGGGCATACAGAACTTCCAAGAGGGCAGGTACAAGGACAACTCCTTATGCTCTAACCTTCGGGCAAGATGCAATGCTTCCCATGGAGATCAATGTGAGTTCTGTTAGAATTCAAAATCAGTTTGGGTTACACAGCGAAGAATACATCGAAGCCATGTGTCAAGGGATTGAAGACTTAGATGTAGCCCGAATTGAAGCCCTGAACCAGATTCAGGAAGGAAAGAGAGTTGTTACCCGAGCGTATAACAAAAGGGTGAAAACAAAGTCTTACAAGGAAGGAGATTTGGTGTGGAAGACAGTTCTTCCTCTAGGAGCTTAGCTTAGGGGCTTTGGAAAGTGGAGCCCGATGTGGGAAGGTCTTTTCATAGTTAGTCAAGTATTAGACAAATGGGGATATTACTTGGCGGACCTCGAAAGGAATTGGCAGAAACATCCCATTAATGTTAAATTCTTGAAAAGGTATTGTCCTACATTATGGGATGTTAGGGATTGTTACATCGAGGAGGATGCAAGGTAAAACAGGTTTCGGGATGCTAAAGTATAGTGTATATTCATCAGTCATTCAAGAAGACAGAAAGACACAAGATTGTTAACATATTGTTTATTTCATTTTCGACAAATTGGTGAAGTTTACAACAAATTCAATTAAATCCCGATGTACTAGGTACGACTCCTTCCAGGTGCAATGACGTCTTAGCTGGTTTTCTGGTATCTTCATGGGTAGAATCCGATCAGGTGATCAGGTTGTGCGGCCAAGACGTGCCTGGTAGATGATCCTCAGGCAGAGTCATCACCATATATGATGGTGAAGCCTGATTTATCATGGCGACGAGCGGGAAGGCAAGTCTTCATAGGAGCACTGCCTGACCAAGGGTGTTGGGGAAAGCGGGGTGTCTGACCAAGGGTGTTGGGGATAGTGGTTATTTGATGAAAACTCTTTTTCTCACGAAAAGGGAGTTTTAGGAAACCCCATTTGAATCTTCAAAAGATCATTTCTCAATCTTGGGGAGAAAACTAAAAAGGCAAAAATACTCGGGGTTAATTGAAGCGAAGGTTGAAGGAATTTGGTTGACTGAGCAAAAGGCAAAATCAAACCTGAATTTATAGAAACCTCAGAGGGTAACCCAAAGGTCGTGAGAAGAGCAAGAGACGCATGGTCGTAGGCCTCATGTCTAGAAAAACAAAAGTTCCAAGAGCGGGTATGCAAGTATGCGGATATTCAATCAATATTGGCGCTTGGAACTCCAGTCTGAATATTGATTAAAGGGGGCACTGTTTGGGTTGAAACTTAAACTTTGGGCTTAGAAGGAAGTTGGCCCAAAAAGAGAAGGAAAAGCCCGAAGCTCAGCCCAGACCTAGAAAGCAGAAAAGGCCTTTCCCGACTAGGTGCAGCTCATTTGCACCACTTGCTCAACTACCTAAGGGCCAAGTGGTATAGACCAACCAGCTAATCAGCCCAAAAGTACTTTATGATGGCAATACAAGTAAATAGCTGATGAGTCAATATCCTTCAAACTACATTCGGGCAAGATTATTGCTACAGGAGGCCAAGCCAAGGTGGCTATAAAAGGAGAAAGAAAAGTCAGAATCAAGGACACTCAAAACAAACAAACAAAAGCATAAACTCTGCTCAAAGCCAGATTTGCCTTCAAAATGAAGTTGTAGTAAGCCCAAGCCTTCATCCCTTTCGGGACAAAGCCTTTGTAATAGCTCTGCTACACTGCTCAACGCCTGCTGTAATATCGATTTTCTTTCTGCAAACTCACCTCCCAACCCCTTTTCTAAGCTTTCAAACCTTCTGTTTACCCACAAAGATAGGAAGTTGCAAGACGATCAACCTTGCCCGACCTTCTTTGTTTTTGTCTTTTCATTCATTAGCCTAGCAATATGTTGTATACTTCAAGTTGTATCCAAATTATTTCTAGTTATATAGCTATTAAAAGACTCTCTCAACGCTTGAATCCGATTTGAATATGTCTTCACAGTTCAAACTAGATCTAAACTCTAAGCCCTCGGGCATATAAGATTTGATCACCCTAAAAAGTCCATGGCCTCAAGGCATAAAAAAGAACCTGATGTGGACTTAACCCATCCACGACAAGCTTTGATAAACAAAAAGTCCGAAGTTACTTGGGGCGCAAGTAATCGACCTACCACTTAGTTTTATTTCTATTATATTATGATGACCATATAACGTTTGAGTACGGGATGAATTCTGATGGGAAGCCTCAAGGCCTATTCAAGGCCCTACAAAAGGCACCTATTTGGATTCATCCTATTTCTCGGGCAAGAACGTTCGAGTACGGGATAAATTCTGATGGGAAGCCTCAAGGCCTATTCAAGGCCCCACAAAGGCACCTATTTGGATTCAGGTAATCAGAAGTATGATGGTTATAAGACCCATATAACCAACAAAATGAACCTTATGTGTTTGAGTACTAAGTTAGTTATTTATGGGAAGCCTCAAGGCCTATACCTAAGGCCCCACAAAGGCAGTTGTCAATAACTAACATAGTCTCTTGAATATATATAATTAAAACTCAAACATCCGTTCTACATCTGCCATGCTGAAGATAGTAGTGGCACACCTGAGCAATTCAAAGTTAATCTTGATTGTGAGCCTCAAGGCCTACACCTAAGGCCTCACAAAGGCACCTTTCAAAGTTAACTTTGTCCTTCTCTTTCAGCCTTACCCGACAAGCCCGCCAGTAAAGCAGAAGCCCGACAGAAAGCATCAACCGGCGTCAACCTCTCGGGGAGCTATGTGCTCGTCAACTAGGAAGCATTCCCCACGGAAATTCCTGCCACGAACACTTATTATTATCCTTTCGTTTCGTCTGAGTTCTTCCACTCTTTGGCCACGTGTTGATCATCCTGGCCATCCTCTTTTTCCATGTGACTCCCTCTTCGATTTTAGCGTTCTTTTCTTTCTTCTGCACATTGTTCCTCACAGTTCCTCCATTTTTTGCCCATGCGTTCATCGCTTTGCACACCTCTTCGATTTGACCGATTTCTCTTTGATTCACCGGATTTCTCTTCAATTCCAGTGTTCTTTTTCTTCTTATGGACGGAGTCGCTCGCCTGTTTTTCTTCTTTGGCCACACATTTGTGCATCCTTGGTAAGTTCCAATTTTCTTTGGCTTTGGATTTTCTTTTTTTTTTTCCTATATATTGCATTTGCTATTGTTTGTTTGTTATCTGTGCAAATTTTTTGGGGATGAGTTGGTATATACTGATAGGGAGTTTTAGGAGGATTTGGGGGGATGAGTTGGTATATACTGATAGGGAGTTTTAGGAGGATTTGGGGTGTTGTCAATTTTTTTTAATTAGGGTGATTATGCCTTGAACCTTTGCTGATCGTTGAAATCATTGTTGTGTAATGTTATTTTATCAAATCGTTGTTGTGTACTGTTATTTTATAATCAAAGTTGAGTTGGTATTTTGTTTGTGTTTGATTATATTGAAATCGGAGTTTCAGAGGACTTCTGTTTGGGTGGAATTCTTCCTTTTTGGCCCTCACTTATTTGTATGTTATTACAACCTTGCCCTTTTTGCTTTGCTGTCATATGCTTAACACTTTAGCGACGCGTGGAAGTTTTTTTCCCTCACCGTTTTCCTCCCCCACCGCATGAATCTTCTTCCGTTGCCAATCCATGAACCACAATTTTCCTTTTGTGTTTCCTCAGTTATTTCTTCACCAGCATCCTTGCGGCAACTTCCTTGCTGATTTGAACTGCTCGACCATGACATGAACGCATCCTCCACACGTTTGACTCGCTGTACATCGGTCTTTGTCGTTGTCATGTCTCTCGCGACCTCATGATCAAGTACCCAAGGTATTTATTTAACTCTGAATCTCATTTGCGAATTGTTTACACGTTTCCATATGGGTTTTTTGAAATACAGCAAATTTTATCATTCTTAAGATTTAATTGATGTTATTGTATAGTCTAATTATTTTCCTAATATGATTGAATTGTAATTAGTTGTATGTATATCCAAAACAAATGAAAGTATTCAAAACTCTGAATTTGTAGTTCTTAAAGTCGTATAATCCTGGGTTGTGGTTTTTAGGCTTTTGCTTGCAGCCTCCATTTTCAGAAGAGGAGCTGGACCATCCAGACCCAAATTCCTCAACTTTTCAAAGCATTTTTTGTTATCCTTTTTTTCTGGGTTGTTTTATTTTTAGCTTTTTGAATATGAAAGCTACTTCATTTGATTGGTGTTTCTTTGCTTTGTGTGTTTTACCCTGAATGAATCTAATTATGGGTTTTGTTAATCTGAATAATTTGTGCAGACCAAGTGTTTGTTCTTCTGCTTTCTGTTTTCTGGTATAGCTTCCCAACACTGGAAGAAGGTGAATTCTACTAGAAATTGGACAACTTTGTGGGATTTCAAGGTGTTTCTGAGAGGTGAATATTTTGAAGGTAATATTTTGAGTGGTTTAGGAATTCAGTTATGTTTAATAGTTCTAATCCTCCTTCAATGGGTGAGTTCCTTTTTTCAGTTTGGAAGGTAATATTTTAATGATAGAAAGAAGACTATGGTTTAGATTATTTGTATTCCTACTCTTTACTAGACTGGTTTAGATTAACCTCTTCTTCTGGTCGCTACTTGACTGAAAAAACAATTATTTACAATTTTATGGTGAACAAAATATGTTGCTTGAATTTAGTGAAAGCAATTACCTTGCATATGTATTGATAAGTATTCTAAGATATAAACATTAGATATTCTGGTGATCATAGAAAAATGGATGTTCGAGTGATCATGGAACTCTGTTAGTAGCTATTGATATCATAATAATTTAGGATACGAGCGTTAAATTAGCTTAAACTGCAGAATGTGGCTTTGACATTGTTATATGGAATTCCACTACGAAGAAATGGCATTGAACACACGTAATTGACTGAATGCCAAAATTCTTCTTTAGGCACCAAATTGGATTACAAAACAGAATCTCACTTTGATGTTCTATTTTCATTCAGTTAACAGGGGAACTGTAATTTCAATGGATATCATTTTGGATACTCTTCTATATATTTTAGTTGTCCTTTTAATCTAGATCTTGAAATGCGTTATTTCATGTGATGGTATTCTTTTCTTTTGTTCAAATTTAGATGTCTACATTTATAAATAATGTATACCACACTCTCGTTTTAAAGGGGGTTCAAGAAAATCAAACAAGCAGTACCCCAGACGACTGACATCTAATGCCATGTAAATTTGTTTGCAGTTTTGTAGCGGAATGAAGATAGATCCTATCCGAAATTTAGGACCTTTTCAGTTTAATAAGAAGATCAAAGTCCGTGTATGCAGAATTTGGAGACCTAAGGTTATAGGAAAGGATAATACGTTTGGTGGTCTTCAATGTATATTGGTTGATGAAATGGTAAGAATTTTGTTTTTAATTTTGATAATACCATGATCCATGCATTTATCAATAATGATGACCTAAATTTGGCAGAAAGATGCAATTTTTGAATTCTCCTATAAATAAATAAGAAAATCATTTTATTGGATTATATTTTTTGACTTTAAAAGATGTACTGTTCATATTTATCTACCTAATTTTGTTAAATTATTTTTAATCATGCAGAAAGATGCAATTCAAGCATCTGCAAAAGAAATAGATTATGAGTATGTTGCTCCAAAAATTAAAGCTAATCATGTTTATGAGATCACTCGCTTTTCTACTAGTCGTTGTAAATCATCCTACAAAATTGTCCCCCATGATGCGCAAGTGTGCTTCAATACAAAAACAAATTTTGAAGAGTTGCCAGGTGTTCATCCAAACATTCCCTCACAGCGGTTTTACTTGATTATTCCCAACTGTTTTCTCGCATCAATCAAGATGATATTCTCACAGGTAATTGTACATATATAAAAAATAAAAAAATTTAACATCAGTTTAGTATCATTTTGTCAATATCTTTTGAAGCATCTTGAGATCTAACTACAATCTTTGGACAAATTTTGAGATGTTCTGGGATGCATCACTGCAGTAAAGCCTTTGGAGGACAGAATGATCAATAATTAGACAATGGAGAAAATACGTGAAGTGAAGTTGCAAAATATCAGGTCAACAATATATGGAGACATTTGAATTTCTCAAAATTGTTGCACATTTTATTCAAAATACTAATGTTTTTTCTTAATATCCGTTCACTTAGGAGAGAAGATGTTAACCTGACATTGTGGAGTGACACTGCAAAGACCTTTGATTTCAAAGCTCTGGAACACTTGACCCCACCAGTTTTGGGTGTTTTTACAAGCCTTAAAGTTAGATGGTTTAGAGGTATAAAAATTTCCAGATCTATTTTCAATTGTTCATATTTATTGTATAGAATAATGATTTAATTCCTCATCTATAAACAACCAGAAAACATTGTGCTGAACAATAGTATTTCCATAATGATTTTCATCAATCCAGACATTCCCGAAGCAACTCCTTACAAAGCAATGTCAGTTTCTAAACTCCAAATGATTTAAAATATTTTTTTTCATGTTGAAATTCAGTATGAGGGAAAAACTATGGATATACCTGTTTACTATTTATATGCATATAAATATGAAACTGTTAATTCAAGTAAACACATCTAGAAATACAATGTTTATATATTTCTTTTAGTTTACATGTTTCTATAATTAAAAAGGCTATGATCTAGCTTTCTTCAATGTTAGTTTGATCAAATAATTGGCTAGAACCACCTGAAATTGTACATTGCAAACTAGCAGACATTTTTTTCTTAGTATGGTCAACTTATGCAAGCTATGTACAAACTTGGAAAGGTTTGTCAAGTTGACTACAATTGTTTAAAAAAAAATGATGTATACTACTCATTGTTGTTGTTACTGTATAGTAGATGAAGCGGAATTTGTTTCTCTTTAGGGTCAAAATATTTTGGTTTGTTAAAATTCAGGACCTATTTTTTTTTCCCTTATTCATAAAAAAATTCTCTCATAAGAATGTGTTTATTTTAGTCTACCATAACAACATCTACATATACATTTGGACAAACTTTTGAGAGCCCACACTTTAGAAACACAAGCCATGTTTGTATATGCATTACATAGTGATACAATAGATCTATAGAAGTATGAAAATTATTCTTTCAATTTTCTTATGGTATAATATTTGAATTTTTTTTTTCAATTGATAAATGCTTAATGAACATGTTAGTATCCCTTCATGGTTTAGATTCTTATTCTCTTTAATTTGAATACAAAAATATGTGCAGCTTTGTTGGTCCGACTCATTCTGTAAAAATGTTGCCAACGTCAGCAAGACAACTAATGGGATCAGAATAGTTGGAAAACGCTGAAAAACTGTCTGTTCAGGATCTGAATGTTTTGGATCCAGATTTGTACAAGGTAAACAAACTTTTCTCAATGTTTTAGAAATCAAACATGTGTAGCTGCTGTAATACTAACACACATCATTTATTGTTGTTAAATAAATTATATTCCTCATATGGTATATAACAAATTAGTGAAGTACATATCATTCTTAGATTTTAAACTTTGAACATGAAAAAAACATAATTGAAAGAAAAAATATAATTTAGATTTGGTTTCTCTTTTCTGCAATTTCAGAACGCTTCAGTCTTATGTAGAGCAGCCATTACACATTTTGACACTCATGTTGGATGGTGGTACAAAGCATGTCCATGCTGCTACAAACAATTGAGAAAAGATGAAAATAACGACGTACTAATTTGTGTAAAGCACAATGTTCAAACTCCCCTACCTTTGTAAGCCAAATGTTTATTACTAATTTCACAAGCTTTATACTTAAACATTGTTCTTCATATACTTAGGTTCAAAGTAAGTTTAATACTCGAAGACGCCAGCGATGAGACCAGTGCTATCATCATTGATAAACCGGCTGAACGTTTATTTGGAATTTCATGTTATGATTTAGTTGTCAAAAAAGGGTTTACTAATCAACAAGAGCTGCCATATGCAATTCTCCAATGTCAAGGACAAATAAAAAAATTTCAACTTCGATTTGGGAATTTGAAAAATGATTTCAACAGAAATGATCTCTTGGTCCAAGCGATTTTCGACGACAAAATACAAGTTGTTCAATCAAGTTCCAAAGCTTCTTATGAATCATTGGTTGAATTTGAGGAGGTAGATACGACAGCTCAGACTTTCAGCTCTGTTGTCACAACATCGTCTACAGAAAGTTCAATTCCAAAGGGTCGTTTCAGCTCTAAGAGTAGAAAAAAAACCAAAGAGGTAAGAGTTTTCATTGTAACTATCTCATTTGTATCTATATTTTCAAATAACCTGATATTTACTAATGTATTAATCTCTCTTCTGTTTATATGGATTTAAGGGAAACTGAAATTACCGAAGAAATAGATGAACAAAACGCTTCGGACACCGAAGATTTTCCCATCAAATCCCTCAGGAACAAAATGTCTCCAAACAAAACTGAAATAGTATCTACTACTTCCAAAACCTGGTACGTTACATCTATTTGTTATTAATGCTTTAACTACTAGTTAGGTCCCATAGGTACTGCTTTACTTTGTGGTTAGGACTATGGGGATGAAATTTTGCTATTTGGTTCCCAACTTGGTGAACACATGAGGAAAAGGTCAAATGCTTAAGTTTATGTTTGTGTAGAGTTGAACTTGGATGGGCAGAATTTGTTAATTCTCCTTTCTGTCTATTTATCTACTCATTTTCTAGACAATGGCTTACATCGTTGTTGGTTAATTTTCTTTTTTATCATATTTCTGATACAAAGAATATAATTTCAATCTACAGCAAGAATAAGTGCAAAGATGATTGAAGTTCTCTGAACAATACAGAACAAATGGAAGTTTTTTTTTTTTTATGAGCCCAAGGACAAAGAAGCAACATGAAAACTAGAACCATGTGGACAATTTTTGAAACTGTATATATTTGGGGCTTGCAAGTCCATCCTGTTAGTCATTCAGATCCGTTTTTTTTTATGTACATAGAACTTTTAACATAGAGTTAGTAAAATATAGGTGCAAAATGAACGCTAAACAAAGTGGGAGACTTTTGGAAGTGTATATGAATGTAAAACTTAGAAATCTCCCCTTTGGATTGTAAATATGCTTTTGATGTAAAATAAATAGAATGTTCTATAACTGAAAAACCTATTTTACCCTGTTTGTTTAGTTGTTCTATTAATTTATAAAATGTTTAGGAATGAATGTGTTGCAAAATCAAGTGTAACTTTGCCTCAAATATGCATAAAATTATTATTGATACCTATGGTAAATTTTGGATTAAGCTTTGATGCTTATGCACCACCTATTCTTGCTGAAGACCTACCATAAGTACGGGTCCACCTATCCAGCATATAAGCACTTCCACTAACCTTAGATATAAATTAAATAGTCATCAGTCTCAAATTCATATGAAAAACTCATCATACGAATTGTATATTGCTGGTACTTACTTCGGAGGTGAATCATAGAAACACTAAAAGCTGTGGTATCTTATGGGACACTTTGTTATTAAATTGTGATTACGGATTCATAACCCGCAGCGGAGCGCGGGCAATTTTTCTAGTAAATTTCTATGAATGAGTTGGTATTCTCTCGGTTGAAACACCAATTTTTTTTCTTTTTATACAACTATCGTACATGAAACTTGAGTTGGAAATTTCTTGTAACAAATGAAGATCGACTACTTTTGTTTTTAATGAAATAAATCTAAAAGAAATCTTACTACTACTACCACGACATGTTAAATTGACCAATTAACTTTTAGCATTTCCCTTTTTAATTTTCAAAGAAAATTCCAACTGTCCTCTGCTATAAAAAACAATTTCAAAATAAAATTGGCACTACTATCTTTAGTATCAATATAACCAAGATATTGGAAGTATCGGATCCACGAGAGAACCATAATTGAATATCAAACTTATAATATAGGAGTGTGATATTCACACATCACATTTTACTTCTCAAACGTCTTTTTAATTTTCGACCGTCGGATCGGATGAATTGAAGAAAATCATTGTATAAAAATTATCAAGAGATATGTGAGAAATAAAATTAGGTGTGTGGATAGCGCATCTCATAATATATGGGAGACGAAACTAACACTTCAGATTTACGAATGGAAAATATCATATACTCACCCCATTCAACTGCCACGTACCCGTCGCCCCACTTCCCACGTCACAAACACTCGTCCTCCACATGCACTGCTAGGTAACTTTATCACGCTGCCTCACCACTGAGGGGCCACTCCAACGCCCCCATTTGGAATTTGAAAATGAAAGCCCCTCTCCAAAGAGACGTTAGAAAATTACAACCTTGTGTGCATTTTATTCTATTTTTTATTTTCCAAAGATAATTTAATTATTTTATTTTTGTCCACAAACAGAAAAGTCCCACTTTCTATCCCCATGTATTGCTTTGAACTAGACGGGGCCTCGCTAATGCTGCGGAGGGGAGACAGTGAGTTTCTGGACGCTGACTCTGACCTCTCATAGAAAAAATAATGAAAGATTTTCCCATTTAATTGTGTTCCCTCACATCTCTGCTGAATCTTTCATTGCTTCCTTCACTCCACTTCACTTGTTAGAGAGAGAGAGGGAGAAGCTCAGCTGATTCCTGCCCATTAGTTCTTGTAAGTTTTGATTCCTGCCCATTAATACTTTGAATTTCAGTGTAAAGTTAGAATCTTTATTGTTGGTTTTTAGATTTGTGAATTGGGTTGGATTTGTTTTGATGTTTTTTGTTTTGTATCTTGTTTTGGGGGAGTGATTGGTTGCTGAGAAAATGTGGGAAAAGGGTGGATTTAAGTAGATTGATATCTGTTTTTCTGCTGCATATTCTACATTTATGTAATTTACTTGAATTATTTGGTTGTTGGGAACTTTTTGCACTGAATGTTGACTTCCAGTTATTTATTTGCAGAATATTTTTCTTTTTTCATAGTTAGGTGCATAAAGAATAAAAAATGCAAAATTTCCTTCTCATTTGCCTTTTGAAGTTTTGCTTTTGTTTGACCTTATGCTTAGATTAGGTACATTTGGGATTTGGGTGTTTGATAATCTTCTGAATTTGGTTATGCAATTTGTTGATCCTATTTGGTTTGGAAGGCTAGGTACTTGAAGAGGATATGATGCAAGGGTAAATTCTAGTTGCATGTCTTAAGTTGAAGCAGAAAGGTCAGAGTTTGATTCAGCTTATTGAATTTCATAGGCTAGTTTCTCAGCATTGAACGTGCTGGTTGAGGTTCACATTGTCTTGATTTCGAAAGCTAGAACGCTGGTTGAGTAGTATCCATTACCATAGAAGTAATCTTACCTGAATGACATAGAGAGCATTTTAGATCATATGATATAAGATTATCATCGTTTTGTAAGGACAGTTGGGTGGCTGCTAGCCTCATACCTTTGTATGTGCTGATATGGGCATCTGTCGATAGGCTGATTCGGCCTACGTTAGCATCTGTCGACACGCTTGCTCGAAAGTGATTGGCATTTATCGACAAGCCTTCCAAGGCTCAACAAAATGCCAATTTGCATGCTATTCAGTTCAAAAAATTTTGCAAGTGCGTTATTCTTACTGACCCTCCAAATAATATTTCTTGGGTACTCCACTGACCACCACCACCACCACAAGCACGACTCCGACCATTGTCACCACAACAACCTTCACCATCGCCATCGCACCATAATCGTCGTAGCCACCACAACCAAAATGCTACGAATGCAACCATAACCACAACCACAACCACCACTGTCGAGGCCTACCACCATTGTCCCTTACACACTTGAACCACCAAACCACACTATTGGCACCCACCATTGTCATTGCCATCACAATCGCCGCCCCATCGCCACCGTCACATTCATCGTCTCTACCACGTATAATTGCATCCACCAACCTTACACACCACTGGCATCACCACCACCACCACCACCAACATTGCCACCGTCGCCGGCAACGACCACTATCGTCATCACTACCCCTACTACCATGTCTATTTTTGTCGTTCTATACATTATATCACTTATTAAAATTTACAAAACGTTTTCACACTGCTTTTTATACTCACAAAATTTTTAAATTACAGTTTATCAAAAGCTCAATTGCTTTAATTTACAACTGATTATTCTTAAAGTGCAATAGAAATAATTTTTTTTTTTAAGCAATCCCAAAGTGTCCCTAAACCAGACCCATTGGTCTATTATTTTCTTTCAAGTTTTGAATTCAGCGGCAAAATCAAATTGAGCTAGCAAAACTGGTCCAAAACTCCGTTCATAACTTCTAATTCGTAATTTGGTTGAATCAAACCGATCAAACTTCTAGTACAAAACATGCTTGCAGGCGGTTATCGATATAGTCACTGATTAACTACTAGCACCAACTATTGGGTATGGATTTTATACTAAAGGTCTTGATGCAATTCATAGTGAAATCATTCATCATAAACCGTTATTCATTTCGATTAGGGTCCTAATGTTGGACTGTAGATTATTCAAGATGTCATCTTTTTTTATTCTTGAAGATGTCATCTCTTTTGGGATCACTCTTTAGTCTACCTCATGTGTAGCTAATTCCACATTGGTAACACTACTTGCTTTGATTTCGATCTAGTGAATTTGATTTAAGTTTTCAATTTGTGGTCCAAACTTGTGATCCAAAGGTTTTCAATCCGTAATCCCAATTTAGATTTAATAGGCTGAGAGTTAGTCCACTCTTACCATGTCAAAGTTTCAGAGTTAGTTCAGTGACCTATAACGACATTGTTTTTTTATCCCCAACCAAACTACATGCACATATTAATGGGTGTAAAGTTTTTGTACAAAATGTCTCGATGTAATTAGTAATGAAACTAAGCAGATCATCCCGACCTATGGTACAAAAACATGAAAAGTCTTACATACACATACCATAACTATCTTATAATACTATGTCGAAAATTCTAATATGTTCATTATTATCTTATAATAATAGTTTCAAAAATTCTAGTATGTTTAGGAGATTTTCTACTTCAGAATTTTTAACAGTTACATCTGTATATCATTATAAAGAAGGATGATCAGCAAGTCCATATATATCCGATCAGAGAGTACTGCAAGTCTGCAACCCTACCTTCCACAAAACTAGAAACTAGAAAAGAAGCCCCTGGGGACTAAATTTAGCGATTAAATATAGACACAGGAATCAAAGCTGACGAGCAGAAAACATTGTCTGTGGGATCTATGTGATTGAACCTTGTCAAAATACCATAACAAAGAAATGACTACCTAGGCCGGCATGGCTTCGCTGCCTCACCATTTGTGGACGAGACGTGGTGAATTTGGTGGACCATATCTTCGAGGCTTGAGTTCTTTACACATGGAAATCTTTGGATATTACATGCCAAATATTGGTAATGGTGCATTATTCATGTTGGTTTGGGCTCCACTTAGTGAGAAGTTTCGGTGGAGATTTTTTTGACACGTAACATATTGAACGACATAAAAATTTGTCATACATGAGACATTCTATGTAATTTCATTTAAATTTGTTATTAAAATCATACAGTTTGGTTTATGTTACATTTCTAACTAAAATTATATATATATATATATATATATATTTTTTCAAATCTTCTACTTCCACTACCAAACACATATTTCAACAACAAATTCAAACAAATTTGAGTTTCTACTACTAGATCTACAAGATTCATGACTGGTGGTTGACGAAGATTAGAGAGAGGAAGTAACAAATGTCCCACCCACAAATTGCTTTAGCACCTTAGTGGACTTGCAAGATCCATGATGCTGAGTTACTTGCTCAGAATAAGGGATTTGGATCCCATCTGGATCCATTTGTGGGGATTCTAGGGATTCTCATATTCTAGTTATTCATCATCTATCGTGTGGTTAGAAATCATTTAATTTTTTTATATTTAAAATTAAACATAAATAGTATATGACGAAAACTTATCGCACGATGTACGATGAACTGTTAGGATGTGGAGATCCCTAAGATCACCACAAAGTGGATCCTTTTCCCAGAATAAGGATCACCCAAAAAATTTTAAAGGTCTCCCTTTTGGATGTTAAGTGACTGCTATAGATTTATCACCTTGTTAAATCGGAAAAACCCATTTATAACCACGATGCTGGGGTTTTTAGCAGCACACCAACGTTCGAACTTGGACCAACAAGTGTCATGCAAGTCCACTTCACCATCAGGCTGGGAAGAGGTTGGTGCGGTTGGGCTTTTTAGATATTAAGAGTATATGCTTATGCATATGGCATTCGTGAAAAAAATGACTTATTTACATAAAATATAATAATTTATATTAAAAGTGGTTCGGTCTGGTTCCTCCAGTTTTTAGTATTTCTAAATTGGAATTATAACTGATTTGAGACGGTCCGGTTCGATTTTTGTCCTGATTTTGACTTTTTTGGTCAATGCGATTTTTTATGGTATTTTTTTTTTTATCATGGTTTGATTTGGTTTTTGGTTTAGCAGTTTTTGTGCTCACCCCTAGGCGTATTTTAGAGCAAACCCTTATGAAGGCCTAACATGTGGTTTTGTTCTTTGGAAACAAAGGCTTGGCATGTTTAAGTTGTGAAAACCCCAGGCTTGACCTAGTACAAAAAAAATTGGGTCGGTTTCATGTTATATAACCCAACCGTTCGTCTCTTAAATGGGTTGGCAATAAATCTACAACGGAAAGTGACTAAAACTCTATTTCGTATTACCTTTTCTCACTAAAAACTACTTCCCTTTAAAGTTAATTAATAAATATTGTTTAGTCAACTAAGTATCTTGCTTATTTTAAAAGCAATGGCCTCTAGTCTAGACATCACCTTTTAAAAGTAGTATGTAGGTTGCTTTTTAAACCTGCTTTAAAAAAAAGGAGTTGAGCCTATAATGAATATATTCAATTTATATAATACTGTAACAGCCTGTCTCGAATTATTATATATTTTATCCCCGAGTATGTAAAATGTCGATAATGCCCTCGTGGTTTAGTGATGTGGATGGATATATATAGTTTTAAATTATTTTCTCCCTCGTGAAATTAAATGGTGCTCGAGCACAATGGCATGAATTAAGAACGAGAATGGGCGAAATTCTATTTTGGGTTGGGTTATTTCTTCTTTGGACTCATTTTTAGGGCTTAAATCCTATGCCCTAATAAAGGGCCTTATTATTTACCCATCCTACCCCCCTTTCCCCCACTCCAAAAACTTCTCCTTTTCTCCCTCACACTCTCCCGCACCTCTCCCTCTCTTGGTGCTCTCGTCCCCGACACAACACACACACATACTCGCACACACAATACAACCATTAGGACCTTTCCCTTTTCTCCCTCACGTCCTACTCTCATCCTTTTCACCCCTAATATTGTGTAGTCACGATGTGGTGACTCCGACGAGATCTTCAACCTTTTGATTAAGGTAAGCACCTTAGACCGCTATAAAATTATGTTTAGACTAGATAAGGATATTTTGAGACATTTTGGAATGGTGTGGATGTAGAACCTTTGGGAAAAACATTTCTAGAATTTTTTCGGCCAGTGGTCGTGAGTTTTAGGGCTTTTTCGGACGATCTCGACGGCAACGTCACTCCATCTTGGTAAGGCTTGAATCCTTACTCCTTGATCTTCATTTTGGGTTTTGAATGAAGGTTTTTGGTTGGGTTTTGACCTTGAATCGAAGTTGGAGAAATTGTCCAGCAAGAACACCAAATTTCGGTTTTCTTCTCTAATAGTTCCAGCAGGCCACAATTTGTTTTGGATCAAAGTGGTCCTATCCCATTTTATTAGCCTTGTTAAAAATGAGTCCAGAACCATAACCTAATTTATTGGGCTGTGTTGATAGCCCAAACCAAAAACCCAATTCTGTTTAAAAAAAAAAAATTTAAAAATTAAAAAAAAAAAAATATTTTGGAATCTGTATGGCCAGCCCAACCTTTAAGTCATTTCAATTTTGACCTAAGCCATTTAATTGGTTTAGGCCTTATGTTTAAAGTGAATTAGGTCCACTTAGTTTTAATTTAGGGGATGCTCGTGGTGTTGAGTAGGCCACGATAGTATATTCAAACATCCTAATTGAGCGACGTATGAGAAGTTGATCCTAGGTTTTATGTATGTGCTATTGAATTAATGTTTAATCAGCTATTTCACATACAGGTGAGACGTTTCCTGAGGACGAGCGGGGCCATGCTAGACTCGAGGGTTACGACCCTACCACATACCAGTGAGTGGGCTTCTGGTATTCAATATTTATATATATATATGCTTTATGTTTTTGCCAGAAAAGTTGATTTAAATGATTTTATGATTTAAATACCATGTCAAATGGTTTATATCTTAGAATATGCTTCTAGTAGTTGTGTATGATATTGTTG